GAAAAGATGGGCAAGGGTAAATGTAGCAGGAATTCATAATGGATAGTACATGGAACTTAGGGGGGGAAACAGATTGTTTATTTGGAGCAGATGTAGGGACAAAGGAGAATCTCTATGTTATAGTTGGTTTTTATTAATAGAAAAATTGTAAATAATGCATGAGTTTATGTAGATTAGACCTATTTTCTAGCATTCTCAGACCTAATATCCCCTGAAATCCAGGGGGGGGGGGAATGCAGAAAGTCTTTCCAGGACCTCTAAAATTATTCTTTGAGAAAGACTGTTAAACTTCAGAGATGTCAATTTGTTGAGCAACATGAAAATAATGATGGGCAGACCTAGAAGTACGTTAAACATCAGACTATTCTGAATATGTTCCTGACCATTCTAGGTTTGAACCTAAAAATGTGTTAGTTTTAATATTGAGAGGTGCTTTAGCAGCATCTTGAGACGACTTATGGGTGGAGTTCCTTCTCTGTCAATTCCAGACTTGACCTTGCACTCACTCAGGATCCTCTGATTAAAACGGAGCCGTGTGACTAGGAGTGGGGCACCCAGGCTTGGAGGTGATGGAACGGCTTGAGACAGTGGGGACATTCATTATTATATAGCTCTATGGTTATGAGTGAGACTTGCTTTCTGTTAATTCCATGATTGTGGTTGTGTGGTTTTCAGTGGAATAGTAGATAAGAAGGGAATGGATGGTATAGTTCGTCCAGCTATTTCTTAGCATCATTACCTACTGCTTAAGCCAGAGTTGATATTTCTGCCTCCATTTCAAGTGAGTTGACGGCCTTGAGCAGCTTATATTGATCATCAAGAGTGTTTTGCTTCTTCGTGTTTGATCTTAGCCACTATGCTGAGAGACAGTGGGCCAAGACCATCTCAGACTCACTTCAATCTGAAAAATGAGAGGGGCCATGCTTATGTTTGGCCACAACTGTAAGTGGCAGGCTGCCAGCCCATCCAGTTTCAAATACTGAATGGCTTAAATCAGAAGGAATAATTAACAATATCGAGTATCTTTGCATAATGGTGTGTAGCATTCTAATAGTGGAATTCTTTAGTTCTTTATTTTCTTTACAAATGTACAACCACCAGATTTTTACTATGAGACACTGAATAAAGGGAGAGCCACATTGTCATTCTTCAGAAATTGAATTGAAATGTTCAGTGCAGCCCCAGTAAAAACAGACTAAGCAAGTGAGGATAACCAATAAACTTCTGAAAAAGAGTAATAATAAAGGAGCCTTGCACTGTCAGAAATATTAAAAATTATCTTAAAGCTAGAATGATTAAAAGTAGGGCATTATGAAAGAACAGAGAAGTAGTCTAATAAGCAGGCTGTACCTTGGGAATGAGAGCCTGGTAGGTGCGAGCTGTCCCCTGGCTTTGCACTCCCACCGCAATCAGTCCTTGGATGTGGATGTCACGGGAAGGACATGATCTTGGTTCAGGCGACTCTCTGAAGCTGAGACACTTCCCGAAGGGGCTGATACCCGAAAGCTGTCTGCTGATGATACTCCGGCAGCTGGGGCAACCAGAATTTCTTCAAAGGGACAAGTTGCAACCTCCAGATTCACTTGTTTGTACATCTTTATCCTACACATTTGTAAGGGCATTGATTTGAACTTATCACAGCTCCTACCCTGGAGGAAAGACTTGACAGAGGCTGTCACCCTTTCCGCCTCGTGGTGGGCGGGGATCAGAGTACTCAGAGGCACCCCTCCAAAGGCCTCGGTGAAGCTCTTCTTCCTCAGCAGCGGGCTGTTGCTGAGTTGTGGGCTGGTGGTCTCATGAAGAGCCGTGGGTGTGGGAGGTGGTGAAGGTGGTGATTATGTGTATATGGTACTTATTTCTGTTCCAGGTGCTTAGTACAGCCTTGTGCTGATGTTTCAAATGAGAGGACTCGTGTTCATTTGGGTTGGCTTCTGTTGGTAGGATCAGGTGAGGGCTGATAGGCTCTGGGAGGGAGGAAGATGCCTAGATGTTTTCCCCCCAGGCTCTAGGGAAGCCAGCTACCTCCCACGTCACCTCAGCCTTTTCGAACACGTGTCACAGTTCTCTTCTGATTGCCTGGGCTCAGAGAGAGGCATCTCCTGTCCTATTCTTAGATAACGTGCTGCTATTTTTGATTCACGCACAACTTGGTGGTGGCAATCAGGCGGTTCGTGGAATCCTCAAAGCCCATCCATGGGCCTGGTCAGGAGAATGCATCTCATAATCCTGGGAAAGGAAATGTGAGGGGAATCTGCTGGAATCTCCTGGGGAAGGTTTCCTCACTAGACAAAGGACACATAGTGGGGACACCCCATTTCTACCTGAACATTGCCGCCTGCATGGGATGCTTGAAACGGCAGTGGCCCTCTTGAAACCAGGAAGGAAGCCAGCCTTAGGGCATAAGAGAGGATGGAAAGACCCTGGGTCCCTTGTCACATTGCTGAGCAACTGAAAAAACAGACCCAAGTCCTTGTCTTCACAATGCTTAATTCTAGCGGGAGCAGATGACAACAAACACACGTATTATTAAAATACATATTGTGTGAGAGGGGGTAAGCGTGATGACAGGGCACAGCAAAGCAGGGAAGAGGGCAAAGAATGCTGGGGAGGAGTGGTTGCACTTTTAAAAGGGCAGTCAGGGAAGGTTTCTCTGCGAAGGTAGCATTTGCTGAAACACCCAGCCGAGACGAGGGATGCCAAAGAACATCCCAGCAGAGGGGACAGGACTGTACTTGGAGCATTTCTGGTGTTTGGCTCTTACTATACAGGACGTGGAACTCTCGGAGGTTTGCGAGGAGGAGAGGGACACAATCTGACCTATGTTAAAAAAGAGAACGCCCACAGCAGAGGCAGTGAAGATAAGAGCAAAACAGCAGTGTCAACTAGAACATGACTTAGGATAACCTGGGTTGTAAGTTCAAAGTTTTACTTATCTTGAAAAACTTGCATCAGAAGCCATTTTGCTTATTCTAATGTGAACACAAAGAAGGAGCTTACTTGACAGTTCTTACTATATAACATTCTTTCCAAAAGGGTCTCCGAATTTTTTTTTTGGTAGCATATCTATACCAGACTCTCCAATATAAGCAGATTCACCAAGTCCTGTGAGATTTAAAAGAGTAAATTTGATTCAGGGATTCTGAGGGGGCTTTTATTACTAGACAGAAACTTTCCTAAATGTCAGTATATGGTGCTAGTATGGCAACAACATACTTTTTGCTTTTCATAAAAGAAAGAGATACATTTGTCTTATTCCTGAATAAAGTTTTACATTTAATAAAAAGCGTCCTTCAGCCTTTTGGTGTTTTTTTTCCTTGTGAATTTGTGGCTCTAATAAAGGCAGAGTTCCTTACTTACTTCTGGTAAATTCTATGAACCATTTATAGTAAAGACATGTTGGACCAGCCGTTGTGAAATGACAGTGCAGTGTCTGTATCTCCGTTCCATAAACACAGATAATAACCCACTTATATTGGAAAGTAAGGATGCCTTTGACATCAGATAAGGTATTTTCCAGGTCAGTTATTATCCTCTCTAGTTTATTCATGGATTCCTACCCAGGGTCAATAATTCTCATTGAGCCTCACTAAGAATCAAATCTCTCGTGAACCAGCTCTTTAGTTTGAGATGTAAATGCTTTTAGATAGAGACCAGAAACCTCCTTTGTGGATTAATGCTGCATACTCCAGTGAGCCAACATGAACTTCGAATGAAGAACAATTTATTTTGGAAGCTTGATTTTTTTTTTTAATTGGGAATAGTGTGTTTTTCCAGGACCCATCAGCTCCAAGTCAAGTAGTTGTTTCAGTCCAGTTGTGGAGGGCGCAGCTCAGTGGCCCATGTGGCGATCGAACCAGCAACCTTGGTGTTATGAGCACTGCGCTCTGCGCGCTAACCAACTGAGCTAACTGGTCGCTTCTGGAAGCTGGATTTTTAAATTAATTCTTTGGAAGCCTCATCAAGTTCCAAAGAATAAGCTTTCTTAGCTCACTGAACTTCACTAAGTAATGTGAGAGTGGGGTTAGTTGAGGAGAGAAAGAGGAGGCTAGCTTTTATGGAGTGCCTCCTGTATGCCCGTGGGTAACACCTGAGTCTCACACCCTAAGTTGGGTGGTCTTACCTTCATTTTCCCAAGGGGATATGAGCCTCATGGAGGATGGACATGTGCCAGGCTCAAGGAGGACATGCGACTTGCTCAAAGTCATTTAACAGATAAGCGTGGAAATGAAATTGGCACCCATGTCTGGGGGACCTCCCAGTCTGTGCCATCTTCTCAAGGGGCTCACTTGTGAAGGCAGCAGTCATCCTTATAGTCACTTACCTCAGATGAGATGAGTTTGGTTTCTCCAGGGTCTCGTTTCTGGATTTGTTATTTCCGTGAGCTCTGTCTGGACCTTAACAGTCCTGTGCAAAGCAGAACATGGAGGTCTTTCTTGTGTCACTTTGTAGCTTTATTACTGTGCAATTTGTGTGGATTTTTAAATGTTGTGACTGTTAGCTATTAACCAAGCTCCTCAATTCCAATATGATAAAATTTGTTTTGTTTTCGTTTGGGTAAGGTGGAGTTTTTGTTTTAATATTTCACAGACTTTCAAATATTTTACAACATAAAGACTTTTTCCTGAAATTAGGAAGCATCAGTTTGCAATTAAAATCACAAAACCGGTGATATTTAAGAGTATATAACATGATATGAATCATGTTTTATTATTAATATTTGTACCTAAGGGTCTAAAAAAGAGTCATTATTGATTTATAGAAGGAGAACCAATTAAGGAACACTCAGCCAGCTCTGTGACAACATTGGAGTTTTTATTGAAGATCTATTGTGTTGACTCTATATCATCTCTTAGATGGTGTCATGCTCTAAATTATCCTGCTCTAAATTTCATATCAAATTGGGGGAAGGGGAGAGTTAGAAAGGATAGTGTCATCACATGTTTATTCTTAATTGCCATGTATTAATTTTCTCCCTCTCCATTTGTGTTTTTTTTCACTAGGAGAAAAATTCAAAGTGGAAACAAGGACCATTGCTGTTGACTTTGCATCAGAAGATATTTATGATAAAATTAAAACAAGCTTGGCAGGTCTTCAAATCGGTGTTTTAGGTTTGTATCTTTATTGCCACATTTATAGATTCTTCTTGTATTTATCGTTTGGCTTTTGCTATGTACGTTTTCTTTTTGGATGTTACGTATTCCGTTGGTAACATGACTAGTGAGATGAAAATTGTCTTGTTAATACAATTGATCATTAGATGATATTCTATATATGCTTGAATCTTTGTGTTTTTAGTTATATTTGCATGATTATTTTATAATTTTGGTTGTTTTCCCTGCCTGCTTTATTTCCAGTCTCTGATTCTCTCTGACTATATTTAGAGATAGTTATATGGTAGTAATCATTTAAAGTAGGTGATGCCAACTCATATTTACCATTGAGGAAATGAAGGCTTAGAGAAGTGTTCCTCAGCCTTGTGTTCACCATCACCCCCTCCCCCACAGGATCCTTTCTAGACATTATTTCCCCTTAATCTTCCCTTCCATGAAATTTTAATAACACAGATACACCATATATCTCATTTATGTATTGTATGTATATCTGTGTTTTGTACATAAAAAGAATAAGGCCTCATACTCCTCACTCCTGAACCAATTTGTATCCCCTTAGAGAAGACATCTATCCTCCCAGTTGAAGGAGTGGCTTAGAGATTAGGGACTTGTCTGAGGTCACGTAAAGACGGAGTGGTGCAACTGGGATTCAGCTCTCTTATTTTTCTTTTTGTCCAAGCCTACTACTCCCTTTTGTTACACCTGAGCTACCTTGCTCTTATTACCAAACATTGATGTTTTTGCTGAGATATGGAAGGGTTGGACCTTGTTATGGAAAAAAATGCAGATTGTAAGGGAAAAAATGACCTCAGTAAAGTTACCCGCCGTTCTTTGAGACTTTTCTAGAAAGAAACAGGGCATCTAGTTCAGAAAACCTTGCCTTCTTGACTACACATCTTTATCTCACTGCCTAAATTGGTGTAAACCTGGTATTTATCGTTGTTTTCTTTACGGGGATATAAAAGGAAGAAAAATGGAAACCTTTAAAAAAATGTTTCCTAACATTTCTTTATAGTCAAGACCTTACCTCCCTTCCTTATACTATAAAAGGATGGTCTTTTAGTTAATTTCTTTTCTTTTTTTTTTTTTAAAGATTTTATTGGGGAATCGGGGGAAGGGGAACAGACAAGTTGCTGTTCTTTTATTCTTCAGTCTAGTTGTGGAGGACGTTGCTTCACTGGCCCAAGTTGGCACCATCATTGCTCTCTTCCCGGACGAGGCAGAGCAGTCGCCGGCCTCTGGACAGCCGCTCACAGCAGCTGCTGGCTGCTCATGCTGGCTGCCGGCTACACACAGTAGCTTATGACAGCCCACTGCAGCAGGGGACTGCAGCCTACACCATCACTGGCGACTCATGGCAGCCCAGCTCCAGGTCGAGCTGCTGCTCAGCATCTTAGCTGTAGAGGGCAGTGTCACTGGCTCTCATATGTGGGATCCGAACCGGGGCCCTCTGGCATCCCAAGCCAGTTCTTAACCAACGTGCCACTCGGCCGGCCCAATTTTAACTTTTCTAGTAGCCACATTTTTAAAAAGTTAACAAATGAAGTTGATTTCCATAACGTATTTTATTTTAACCCATAGTATTGCTTTAGCATGTAATCCATATGAAAATTATTGGAATATTTTGTAATTCTTTTCCCACAGTAAGTCTTCAAGTCCAGTGTGTATTTCACATTTACACCCAGCTACATTGTAAGTGTGCACTAGCCACTGTGCCTAGTGACAGACATCTAGCTGTAGTTCACGTGCACTGTCTTTCGTCCTCGGTTTGTGTGGGAGAGCTGTAAATATAATTTCTAGATTTTTCTTATGCTTTAACATGGCTTTCAACCAGAGGCAGTTTTGCAGTATCAGGCAATGTCCAGAGACATTTCTGTTTTTGTCACTAATTGAGCAGGGGGAGGAGGAAGTTCTGGCCCCCAATGGATGAAGGTCAGGGATGCTGCTAAACATCCTACAATGCACAGGACAGCCCCGCAGCAAAGAATTATCAGCCTAAGAGTTCAATAATGCTGTGGTTGAGCAACCCTACTCTAAAGTTATACTATAATTAAACAGTTCTTATGGAATTCTTATTGAGACACACAACACACACAGACATATACACACACACTTTTGTTTTCTAGTTGGTTACAGATCAATAATAAAAATAATTGTAGGTGATATTTGCATAATCCTTTAAAGTTTATAGCAGCCCTTCCACATATGTTATCTTATTAGCTGGCTATATGTTTAGGTTTCCTCCTACTCTACTACACCTGTCTCCTTAATCATAAGCTTTGCATAATTATTGTTGACAGTTATTAGCAGATATCTTATACTTATATTGCATTGTAATTTTGTTTGTCAAGATTTTTGAGGGAACTATTAAAACACTTATGAGCTAAATGTTATCTTATTGCTAGGTCATGTTTCAACTCTAACTCATAGTTCCTTCTCTAGTGTGGACATAGAACTTGTGGGGTGGGGGGTTGATGCATTCTTATGATTACCTGGGTCTCTAGCCCCTTGCCCTTCTTTCTTCCCTCTCTGCCCCCCATCCAGATCCTACATACCCCCACCTCTGTCTAGTAAGGGGGAAATAATCTTACTCATTCTCCTTCCTCTTCTACTAATGCCAGCCTCACCTTTATAACATTCCCTAAAAGAATAAACGAATGGATTGATTTCTAATAAAATCTAGCAATCAATATTAAGTCATAGGAAGGAAATTTTTTTGTACTGAATATTAATGAAACCAGTAACGATAAAAAGAAAAATAAATCACAAAAGTACACTCCATTGGTTTGAATAGCATTAACCACCAACATATATAGTCAGTGCTTAATAAAGAAAATTAGTATTTTCAGAGCTACAAAGGAAAATGCTAAAGCCCTTTGTCATGAGAGAAACATTAAGTTTTCAGTAAGAGAAATGGAAAGAAAACAGCCATGAATTGTGTGAATTTATACTAAAAGGTCACCACAACTTGATAAGACTATAAATGCGGAAGGTTGAGAAGTTGGATTCTTAACTCTGTTATGTAAAATAAGTAAGCATCTGCTGTCTTATCTCTGGCAAATGCCAAGAAACACAGACCTGAGAAAGCTTAAAACACTTAAGCTATTCAGAGAAAATGACATCAGTACTGCTTTGAATAAGCAAACAATTGGTTAACCAAATGTGACTGCTATAATGCTTACTGGATTCCTCAAGAGAGACTCTCATGTGTGCCCCAAATTGGCTTGGAGGACTTTGCACAAACATCACAGGAGGTATAATTTACCAAGGCCAAAGGAGTAGCCTTGGATTTCAAGCATGCCACAGATAATACTTTTTTCAAATTCCATGACTATGACTTTTTAACTTTGAAAAAGTGACTCTTTATTCTAGAAGAAAAAATACAAAGGTCCTCCTGGAAAAATAGTTATTTAGTTTGTGATTCACTTTTTAAAAAATCAACTGTAGTTTTATCAAGCTTTTAATGTATCCTGTCCTATACCAAGAATTTCCCCAGGTCAAACGCTGTCAAGGCCTTTTCCACCCCTACTGCCATGGTTTATATAAGTTGTAGAAACAAGAGAATCATTGAGTTATAGGGTGACCTGTGGTGCAGTGCTGGCTTAGTGTATTCAGGCCTAGTTACTATTTTCAAAAAACAAAATTCATCCTAGTATATTTGAATATTATAATTGACTTTATTAAGCAATTCATGAATTGGGCAGCATCCCATCTAGCAACTAGAAGGGAGCCCAGGGATAGTATAAAATGCAAGGTGTTTAGAGGAGGAAGGCTGGAGCTATTAACAAAGGAAACGATTGTTTTTAGACCAGGATATCTTCTTTTTGGGGTGGGGGGGGTGGGGGAAAGGAATGATGAGCGTTTTTATTATGCAAATTGCCTCTGTTTTCTGTCTGGGGAGGTAGGAATGGAGAGGGTCCACATGAAAGATTGCCTGGTGCTTGACCAAAAAATTCCAGACTCCCTTGATTATGATTGTTCTGGGAGCGATTGAAACAGCAGTTAGGTCAGGAATTAAATGTAGGTTTGGTATTATGGGTTTTGGCACAAGTGATGCCATTTTGGGCCTGTGGTTTTCTTTTTAATACTACCCATCCACTTTTGTCTATTTGTACACAGTACCCATAATTTTATTGACACATCATTTTAGTAACAATGTATAAATAATAAATAAAAGTCAGTTGATTGCAAAAGCTGGAATAGACTTCATTATTCTCTTTTCTTCCTATGCCCTTTATAAAGTGAATAGTTGTTCCATTAATGTACTTGTTAGATTATTTTTTAATTAGTATTGTTCATTTCTCCTCAGCTGAATGCAAAAATATCTTGTGGTTATCCATGCCCATGCATCCTTATGGATTATGGGAAATACTTGGAAAGTGTTCGTGTTCCATTTTTCCCTCCTAAAACCTAGTGTTTTCCAGAATGTTCTGGAATGAAGAAGAGTCAAATGTTGGAAATACGTATCTTAAAAGATAGTTTGAGCAGAGATGAAGGGTGAAGATCAGTCAACTCTATCTCTGTTTTTTTTCTTTTTAAAAATGGTTTTATTTATTTTCTGGTTACGTTTTTTTTTTTTCTTTTTTAAAATAATGTTTAATTTTTCAATTACAGTTGATATACAATATTATATTAGGGTCAGAAGTACAACATAGTGATTAGACATTTATGCAATTTATGAAGTGTTCATCCTGATAAATCTAGTCTCATACATAGTTATTGCAATATTATTGACTGTATTTTTTATGCTATACTTTACATCCCCATCACTATTATGTAACTACTAGTGTGTACTTCTTAATCCCTTCCCCCTTTTCACCCACCCTCCTAACCCCCCTCCCATCTGGCAACCATCAAAATGTTAATTGTATGAGTCTCTGTTTCGTTTGTTCGTTTATTTTGTTCTTTAGACTCCACATATAAGTGAAATCATATTGACATTTGTCTTTCTCAGTCTGACATACTCCACTTAGCACAGTACCCTCTAGGTCCATCCA